CTCCTGAACCTCATTAAAGAGCTTTTTTCTCTTAGCTTGCTCTTCGTTGTACTTCACTTTAAGATCTTCACACTCCGCAACTGCAAAATAATTTCATGAGTCCATGGAACATCTTGTGGCATAAACTTATTATTTCACCTGTATTTGAAAACCAAAAAATAGAAAAGTGAACTCTAGCAATAGCATACCCAATGCTTGAACTGCAAAAATCATTTTATTCAACTCGGGAATTGAATCTGCACATTCATGTGCTTCGCGAGAAAGATGCAAATGCTCCTCATGCATCAGCTTCATAAGAAACCAGGCACAAAAATCCAAAGTCAGAAACGTGATATTGAGAACAAATTATGAATACTTATACACACCCACAAATAATGCATTTCCAAATACCTTAATCTTTTCTTGTAAGTCATTGACTGCTATTGTCCAGTACTTCTTGTCACGCTCATACCTACTAGAAATGCTCTTTATATCTTCAGCTTGTTTCTGAATGGTTTGATCTAAGGACATGCAATAGAATCAGAAATTATAATATCTCAAAGTGTAAAATCTAAGATAACTTTTAGTTAAATTGAAAATGATTCTGGTATTACTTTGTAGGCAGGCCTTATGGCTTTCTTCTTTCATGTTCAACTCATATGATGAATAATGGAAACTACCATCTTTTATATCTATTTTATTTTATTTTTTTGTAAAAAAAATAAAAATATGTGGGCCAGCTCTCCCCACTTTTGAACTTTAAAATAGGACAACGTCTAAAGATTTTGTAGTCCTTTAATTCTGAACTTACTGGCATCCATGTATAGCTGATATAACAAAATTTGTATAAGAGAATATAAATCAAAACTAAACTAATAGATATCCTTATTTCATATCAAGGACATTTTTCACTAAAGTCACCCAAAGTAACAAACTATGGACATTTTTCATTATCTGTCATTTGACTAGCTAAAAATTTTCTTAGTTCACTTAATTTAGACACCAGAGAGCCACTCTCCATACCTTGAGACAGTGTCCTAAATGTCACGTTGTCAAAATCCATCATGACCTTGTCCAGCTCCTCATTTGCTGCAGTCAAAGACATCCACGCCTCATAGCATTCTTTTGTTTTAAGTTGGCACTGAGTGGTAAGCTCTTGTATCTTCTTCTCATATTTGGCAGTGGACTTTGTTTGCATTAATTTCATCTGTGAATCAAAAATTATGTCGCTAATTAAGAAAAAGCCTTAAAGTTGTAAGCTCTTTCAACTTCGGGTAATATGTGCCTGACCTGAGCTGAAGGAACTTCTATTTCAGCATCACAGTTGTTACATTTAAAGTGATCCACCACCAGCATTGGAACTATAATAAAATATAAGATAAAACTAACTTTAGAATACTGATATTAACGTACAACACCCAGACAAAACAGTTCAAACAAAACAAATGTATACAAGAATACCTGAAACATTTGGTGCTCTCCTAATTCCGATTCCACTAACTACTGGGCTTCCATTAACCCCTTCAAATCTTATCACAACTACTCCATCCTCCTTCACAGAGACCCTTGAATCAACTAATTGTAAGGGCTTATTGGCTCCAACAACCGAAAAGATATCGAAGTCTGATAGGACCTGCCACATTAGCCAAGAAGAGAAGTTCTAAGGATCAGTCCCTGGATTTACTAATTTCAACAAAAGGAAATGGAAGAAGAAAATAAACCACAAATACGCATTTCCCTTAATTTGACTTACCTTTTCTTCCTGGATGAATACATTAAATACCCTCATTCCTTTAGGCCCATTTGTGTTTATGATTTCAGTGAAATGAATATCAACATAATAGTATCCAGGAGGAAGACAATTGAACCGGTAGTAGAAGTTCCCTACTCGGGCTGACTGATAGATGAATGGATAGTCCCCCCCATCATTTATATGTTCATTGGTTCGTAAAACATTCCCTCCCTCAAAGTAAGTGTCGGCGAGAAACTTCACACTAGAATCTGTTTCATTTGAAGCATCACCTCCAGCATTCACAAACATCACATATTCGTCTGCTGCAAAATCCACCATAATTAGATTCCCCAGTTCAGTGAAGAATACTTTCTTGTCTATTTCATCTATAAACAACACTGTGACACTAGAATAGAACAACTCAACAGCTGTAAATTTCTGAAATTTCCAACTCAAACAAAAATCAATTGCAAGTTAATAACATTTACAACATAAAATGATTAGCATGGATTGCAACTCCTAGGGTTTCAAAAATTTGCAAACCAAACCAGACAAAAATGGGCATCAAGTCGCTGAAAAGCCTAGCCCTAATATTCATCCTATGAAATTGAATAAACAAAGGGATGATATTTTTCTTTCAATTTAACAAAGACGCTTATAAGGATGACCTTCTTGTAACTTAGGTCCTAGTTAGTAGGAAAAAGAAAGACCCAGATCTGACTTATTTTCTTTTCTCAGAAACCAAAAAAATACTATCCAGAACAAGAAAAGAAAAACTATATGAGACCAGAGATAGGAACCTGTAGAGTTGGATCTTGATAATCCGGAAGGGATTAGTCTTGAACCCGAGTCACAAAGCATCGACTCCACCAAAGACTCATCAACCTCGCCCAAGGAAGAATCTTTGAGATCTGGGTTTGGCTGTTGAACTCTGTCGGAATCAGGAACCAAAGAAATTGGGGTTTTTGCCTCTTGGAAAACGGGGTCGAATTGCAGATCTTCCATGGAAATGGGAGTTAAAGAAAAGAGTGTCTGGGAACTGAGAAAATTATTGTGGTACGGAGAGCGAAAAGAGCCTTTCTTGCAGCAAAGAAAGTGGGTTTGATGTTTGAATGAGCAGAATGAGGGTTTGCATTTGAGAATTTGAGTGTCTTCAAATTTGAATTTAGTTACCGTTGGAATGAAAGACCGTTATAGTCCCGCTGTTACTAGAAAGTTGCTCCAACCGTAAAAGGAAAGAAAATATATAGTATGCTATTTAATTTGGTTAATACAGATTAGGGAACGCATTATCATTGACATGTGAATTAAACCCATCTTGTGCAATTTATTTTCAAGCAATAATTTCTTCAACAAAAAGAAAGTAGGGTTAAATATGAAAATGTTCGGTGTGTTTTATATGATTAGGTAATTAGTCCTTGTGTATTTGGCAAACATAGGGGTGGGCAAAAAAAGCTGGTGAACTAGTGACCGAAAAAAAAAAAAAAGGGCTCGATCATTTTCTTTTATACAAATTTATAAATAAACTCAATCCTAGACATGTATTTATAAAAAAAAACCCAAACACTATTTAAACATAGAAATACACCCAAAATCAACTCCAAAATCAACAGTTGTATATTTTTTGGGTGTGTTTATAAATGAGTTTTGAGCGTGTGTAATGATGGATTTTGGGTGTGTTTATAAAGTGTTTTGGGTGTTGGATTTTTTTATAATTTCAGCCCTCATTTTGGGTGTTTTAGTGAAACTCTCTTTCTTTTATTTCTCTCTCATTTCACTTGAGTCGAACCAAACTGGCTTGAACTTCTTCGTTTGCAGTTTCAATTATTTGTAGAATATCTATTCATCAAGTCGAGGGTTTCGTATCGGGCGGGGTTGGCCCACTAAATAAATAGGCGGCTCGTTTATTCATAAAAATCATTAAGTTTGGCCCATGTCTGCAATCCTAAACTGGCTGATATGGGCTCATGTCAAGCTCAACTTATGTATTGCATTTTTGGTTTTGGATCTTCCAAATCATTCCCGCAGGAGGTTCAGACCTATTTTTTTTTCTGATCCTTTGATAAAAAGATTCATTCTCTTCATAAAAAATAGGAGGTCGAACCAATAAAAATTTCTTTTTCGATTCATTCCTGGAGTTGAATACCTCATTCAAGAATTGTTTTTGATCCAATCCAATAGAAAAGGCAAATCCCTTATGATACACCAGATTTGTTTGTTATAATTTTTTACAAATTCATTTCAATCCCTTTTACAATTATGTATATACTAACAAGATTTATTATTTGTTCAAAGAAGAGTCCAATGATTTTTTCTGAAGTATATTTAAATAAAAAAGGATTAGATTATTGTTGGGATTTAAAAAATTATTATTTTATTTATAAAGAAAACATTGCATTTTTAAAATTATATTATTAGAGAAAAGCCATGAACTTGAACTTATGATATAAATATAACAATATTATGTAACATTTTTCTCTAAAACAAATATAATTTAATAGCTATGCTTTAAACAGGTTGGCCCATTGGGCTTTGCCCCGGCCCAAGACGAGCCTCAACCCGGTTTGACTCAACCCATTAGGCTAAATTACCTTGTCTCGGCCTGTTCAAAGATACTAGTCGTGCAGCGTCAAGTCTTACTTAACTTGGCCAAATTCAAGCTATGCTCAAGCCGATCAAATTCATTTGACACCTCTACCTGGGAAATTGAAAACTTAAATAATCTTAATTTACAATATATATTATTTATTTATTTATATAAGAAATAGTCTAAACAACTTTAAATTAATTTGAATATATTCAATTGAGCATATATGGGAAGATTTGAATAAAAAAACTAGGTAATTGTTATTTATTTTTTTTTCAAACATGTTTTTAATAACTTAAGCTAAGCTAAAAGCCACATAGCACTTTTTATTTTATTTTATATTTTTTTATTATAAACAACCTTGATTTTGGCTCAAACAAAAACCAAACATCGATGGAAACTGAGTGAACGACATCCATAACAATGTCGTGCTCTAACTTGAAGTACAATCCCCGTTTTGATAAACGGGACACCCGTCTCGAGAAGCGTCGAAATGCCAAAACTGCCGTTGAGAAACCATACAAAAAACACAACCCTACTCTTCCCAGGCGAGCGCGTGAAACCACTCAACAATCAACCGAACCCCATCCAACTCACAAGCGCCACTCAAGCGCGTGACGAAGATCGCATCTGAAGGTCTCTGAGGGCACTGTCGTTGAAGCAAGTGAGGCGTCCCTGTTTATCAAAACTAGTGGGCGTCCCGATCCTTTTCTGTAACCTTCAAAATTTTCCCTCACTTTCCATTTCCAAGATCAAAATCTCTATTTTTATTTTCAAATATTTGCGCTTTTATTTTTTCCCGTTTATGGGTAGGTAATATATTTTAGAGAAATGAATTTATTGCTGCAAATATGTTTTTGGTATGCATTAACACAATAAGACTCTCCATTAAGGCATTGCCGATCTGTATAACCCCATTATATCTGTTGTTTCTATATTGAGATTCATTTCCTTTGAGATTTGATTCTGGGATTAATTTCTTGGTGTTGAATTTGTTTTCCAGGTATTTTTGTGCTGGCACTTGGGGGTGAAATTTTGGGTCTGTAAGTGCAAGTTTTCACTGACCTAGGAATTTTCAATCAGGTAAGCTTTTCACCTTCACCTTTTTTGTTTTAGGTTACTGTTATGTCTGTAGTTTTTTTTGTTAATTTGTGATAGAAATCATTGCTGGTTATAGACAGGTATTTGGTGTTTTCAAGAGTCTCACTCTAACATTGTATGTATGTTGTTTTTTTCTTTTGGGGTTTGTTTGTTTCTATAACTTATGCTTTGCAAAATTGATTTACAGAAAGTTGTCCAATTTGAGTTCTAAACTAAGATTACTGAGTTCAGACAAAAAGAGAAAAAAAGAAAAAAGATTATGAGCTATGCTGGCAACAGAAAGTAGTTTTAAGCAATCGTTTCCATTCCCATGGTTACTCTCTAGAGTTCTATAAAGTAGAAACCATGTTGCACATTGTGGAATTTTAATTTAATTGTGTTCTGATGTGTGAGAATATCCACATTTGTCTCAATGGTTGAAACAAGAGTGATGCTATTGCACTGGAGGGCTTCCACTTTTTCTTTTGAGGCCAATCTTAATGAAGAGATCACTGAAAAAATTGCATTGTCGGTTAATAACTTATCATGGTATAATGGTATTCATCTTTAATAACTTATAGGATGAGAACGTTGTGATTGAAACAATTCGCCTATTCTTGCTTGATGTAGAATAATAGTAGAACCCTTGATTTGACTGTCTGTATTCTACAGCACACATGAGTTTTAGGAACAATTGTCTTCGATATGTCTGGAGAGGTTTCCGGGTTTGTTGTATGGGTTGCACATTATGTTGCTACCATGTGCCTAAATAATTTAAATTTGATTGGTGCTGTCAAAATATTTAGGTGTGCTAAAGTTATTGGTTTGTGGGTCTGTGGTTCAACAATTTATTTTTCACTCAGGAAATTGACCATATCTTTACAAGATTCAAGACTCAGCAGGTTTGAAGAAATAAGTTTCATGCCTAATTTGTCTATGGACTTATTTATGGTGAAAGCCTTAGGACTTCATTTTTTCAAATATACATACTTTTAAAAAGTAAAGTTCTTATATCCTATTCTTTGTTAAACAATACCATGTTTGTATATTCTTTTTTTGTTTATCTATCAGCTTTTTCTTTCTACCATTGGTAATGGAAGCTCAAAGTGAAATTGAGGTTACAAAGCAGAACAAGATGCTTCCTCCACAACCGGGTACATTTGAAGATCGTGAAGACCTCATCAAATATGTTCGTGATTTTGGTGCTAGTCAAGGATATGTGGTGACCATCAAGAAGTCGAGGAAAGACAGAAGAGTCATACTTGGTTGTGATAGAGGAGGTGTTTATCGCAATAGGCGTAAAATTGATGAAAGCAAGCGCAAAAGGAAAGCAAGTTCACGCCTTATAAATTGTCCTTTTGAAGCCGTTGGGAAAAAGGAAGATGATTTATGGGTACTTACAATAAAAAATGGGGATCACAACCATGATGCGTTAAAGGACATGTCAGAGCATCCGTATAGTCGTCGTTTCACTGAGGAAGAGATCAGACAAATCAAGCAAATGACTGAAGCAGGTGTGAAACCACGTCAAGTTCTTAAGACTCTCAAGCAAATCAATCCTGAACTGCAGTCAACACCAAGGCATTTGTATAACCTCAAAGCCAAGATCCGTCAAGGAAATCTATCAGGTTCCTCTTGTTCCCAAGATTTAAAAAAATTTAGTTCATATTCTAAGTTGCTAGAAAACCGAATCTGTACCATTGTACAGTGTTTTGGTGGGTAGTGGCATGCTACTGTGGCCTTTTTATTAGGCTCTTAATGCGTAGTTAGTATTGGGGTTTGAGGTGGACTTCTTTGCAGTTGAAGAGCAATTATATTTAATATAAAGGGCACATATTCATACTATGGTGCTATTCATTGGAAACAGGAAAAGTCATTTGCTAGTGAAATCCAAATTACAGTTTTGAGAGGCCACTAAGATTGTAAAGGGAAGCTTTCACCATACTTTTGAAGCTAAATATTAGGTCATATCTACATTGGTAGTAGTTTCTGATACCACAAGTGTGTTGATTTTTAGTTTTTAATAATTTGGTTAACTGATAGTTATACTTAAAGATTGGAAGTAAGTTGCAGGACTTTGAAGAGTTAGCAGACATGTGCATATGGTACCCTAGTTTTGAGTGGCCACTAAGATCATGTAAGAGGTTTGCTCCCATGTGGTCTGAGATTCGATTCCTCAAGGTACCTATCTAGCTATTTGCCAGAGTTTCCTGCCTCCAAAAGATTGTAGGGTTCGGAGGGGGGCCCCAGTTTCGGAGCCGGCGGATTTCTTTGTAAGAAAAAAGCAAGCTTTTAAGGCCAAAAGAGTGTATAGGTTTTAGCTAGAAAATTTGATAAACTAACTTTTGGATTGCTGGATTGAATAGCTAGAAACTTTTGGATTTCTGGATAGAATAGCTAGAATAGATCAGAAAATTTATCAGTAATCATTAACAACTTTATATTTTTAACTTATTTCATCAGAAAAAAGTTTCAAGTCATGGAGACCTGACAGATCTGCTCTGGTGAGTACAAGTGCTACTACCAGTGGGGGGTCATCAGAACAAAACAACCAACCGGTAAGGTTTGATGTTAAAGGTGGTCGAATGAGGCTGCTTTTCCGCTTCTGCTCTGTCTCTCTCTGCTTTTTGCTGAATGAGTTGGGTATTATAAACTTATGTTAGATTCAATTGTAGCTGAAGGTTCCTAATTTTATTGGAGGGAAATTTGTTGATTCTCAAGGGTGTTCAATCATTGATGTAGTAAATCCTGTAAGCTCACAAAATCCAATTAATTATCATCTTATTCTCTTTTCGAAAGACGCATTTATCAGTTATATTATTAAATTTATGCTTGATTTCTTAATTAGGCAACACAAGAGGTTGTTTCTCATGTTCCTTTAACTACCTATGAAGAGTTCAAAGCTGCAGTTAGTTCAGCCAAGCAGGCTTTTCCGTCGTGGAAAAACACTCCTATTACCACTCGTCAACGTATCATGTTTAAGCTCCAGGAGCTCATTCGGAGAGATATCGTTAGTAATTGGAGTCTCATAAATTCATTATTGTAATATATGATTTCTATCCTGGACTTATGAATCTCAATGTTGACAACACAACACTACTCTTTTCAGGACAAGCTTGCCATGAATATCACTATAGAACAGGGTAAGACGTTGAAGGGTGCCGAGAATGATGTGCTCCGTGGCTTAGGTCAGTCTTTGCACATGCCTTTTTGCCATTTCTGTTACTGTAACCAGTGTTAACCAAAAGTGAGTTGGTTTTATTCTTTTTTTGCCTTTAGAGGTGGTTGAACATGCTTGTGGGATGGCAACTCTACAAATGGGGGAGTTTGTTCCTAATGCATCTAATGGTATTGATACATACTGCATTAGGGAACCACTAGGTGTTTGTGCCGGGATATGCCCTTTCAACTTTCCAGCAATGATTCCCTTGTGGGTATGGCTACATTACCTCTCAGTTCTTTTCGTTGGTGGTTTGTTTTTCATTGTTTTTAAAAACCTTCTGCAAGACTCAGTTGACAATTTTATATGATTTTACTTCCTATTTTAGTTTAGGTTGATGTGCTTATTTTCTCATGCATTTTGTCATTTCTATTAACTACGGAAGACAAAATTTTAGATTGTCTAGCTTTTTTGTGCATTTAAGTTTCTATTGTTAATCACGTAACTGTTTTTTTTGGGTACTTAGGAGTCTTTTATTTGTGTGGTTTGTGGAAAAAGATAAGATGAGTTTCCTGAGTAACTGTTCCACGGTTTTGCAGATGTTCCCAATTGCAGTTACATGTGGCAATACATTTGTTCTTAAGCCATGTGAAAATAATCCAGGTGACTTTGAATCCGCTACTATTATGTTCAAGATTAGGACATTTTGTTTCTACTTGGATTGCATGTTGCTGTTGTATGTGAATTGAAAGCATGTATTTGCTTTAAGCAATAATATGGAGGCCGTTGAACATCTACAATTCCATTCATTGTCCATGGATCTACTGGCAATAGTTTGGAACAAAACTTGCACTGATAAGTGATATCCAATAAAAATAACACCCCCTTCACTTTTCTGATTTTCCATATGAATCAGAGTTTTACATGGAGAATCATCTTTAGAGAAGTTTCCAGATTCAAATTTCTAGCAAGTTTCCAGATATGAAGACAATGATTTAATCAATATAAGTGGTGAAAAGGTTATCCAGTGGGAATTGTGGGTGATATAATGAATGTAATTCATGTTTGTAAGTTGTATGTATTTAAGATTTTAAACAACTAAGTGATGCTAATGCATACATGTGCATATGGGAATGCGTTTAATCAATAGTAACTGTGTTTGTGCCTTAGTGTTAGTTGGAAAGCCATACATTAAAAGAAGGGTGGTAATGCTAAGGTGTGGGGTTGGTGAGGTTCTAGGTTTAGATCTTTCCTACAAATAGGAAACCACAAAAGATCATCAATATTGACGCACTTCTTAAATTTTGTGTATGTCATTCTAATGTTTCTCAATGATATCTGTAGATCGATCATTTGTTATATGGAAGCTGTTGTATGCTACACCTTGTATCATTGGACTTCATTTTCTTTTTTATGCATCTTCTTAGAAATGCAATCTTATGTTTCATTTTTCTTTTACTGTGCCCATATTGACAAATTGAAATGGCTGACATTGTTTTTGTTTAAGGGGCTTCAATGATACTTGCAGCACTTGCAAGGGAGGCTGGTTTACCCAATGGTGTCTTAAATATTGTTCATGGCACCCATGTAAGTTCTGTTGATCAGGATCTCCATCTATTTGTACGTATTTGCCACAGTTCTAGTCGTGGAAATCTCCTGCGTTTTAAGTAGAAAAATGAAAGACATTAATATGTAGTTGTACAAATGGCAGTTGCCATTTTTTCGGGGTTAATATATGTTATTAAAACAGGTGGCCAAGCTGTTGGCCACTCCCATTGCACCTTATGTCTTTTCCAATAATTTATGCCGTTCTGTAAATGATTAGGTAATGTCAATTTGAAATCTGGGGTAGGTTGCTAATTAATCTTTTCTAAGCACTGACAAAATTTACTTTTCTTGAAAATCAATTTGAGCAGGACGTTATTAATTATGTATGTGATGATGATGACATAAAAGCTGTATCACTTGTTGGCTCAAATACGGTAAGTTTCTTTCAGTTTGGTGGTTCATGATTATTTATATGTCTATCCGGTGCCTGAAGATATGACTTGAAGTTCAGATTCACTTGACACATCAGCACACTCACATATAACCTTGTCGGCCTTCTCTACATCTTCACATGGTGAAAAACTCAAAGTCATTGTGAATTGATTTTGTTTATGTGATTGTCCTTGTGAGCTGAAGTGTTCCATTAGTCTATCCGCTGCTTTTATCATTGGTGCAACAGAAAAGAAAAATTTCTACTAAGTTTCTAGGGA